GCTAGGGTCATAGACATGGAGGACGACGTTGGGTGTTTATGTAGGTGCTGGGGATCCGAACTCAGATCCTGCCATGAATGCCGTGCGGCAGACACCTTATCAACAGCCATCTCCTTAGCCCTCAGACTTACTTACTTTTGAGCCTGGCTCAGCCTGTTTGCTTTCCTTCTTAGGTGGCATCTTTCCTTTCCTACATAGCACCTATTAGTGTTCATATGCATAGACTAGATGAGTGTGCCACACACAGGATTAGAGTGAACTCCATCTGTGTGCTCTGCCTTAATTTCTTCTTAGAGAAAAGAATAGGATTATTAAGTTTCATAAGAGAAAGATTCTGCTGGGCGTGGTAGTGCATGCGGATAATTCCAATACTTCAAAGTTAGAGACAGGATAATCATGAATTCAAGGTTATCCTTGGCTAAATATTAAGTTCAAGAGATACAAGAGAACGTCCCTCAAAAATACACGCATGCACGCATGCATGCACACAGGCATGGACAGAGACAGAGATTTTTGAGACACACACAGAAAATTCTGAGATAGACAGACAGACAGAGACAGAGAGAGAATTCTGAGATGTTCCTAATTTTACCTCGAGGATTGAATCCAGTGCATAGGTAGCCACTGTAAACAGGCACACTATCAAATGACCTACACCCTTTGTCCTAAGACATTTGACATGGATCAGAGGATGAAGAAAAAGAAGTTAATCAGTTAACAACTACAGACAGACCAAAACCAAGAAAAGACCATTGTACCTTCCTGAATGTGTATTAAAACCTTAATCCAAATCCCAGTGTTGCCTCTTAGATGACTTGGAGTTCTGTTTACAACACCGGTCCACTCAGAAGAAGCAAATTCTCCTCCTGCTGAACAGCCTCCCTTCCTAAAACTTCCCCTTCCCTGTGTCCCAGTCTTCTTGTCAGTGGCTAATGAAAGTTCAAGGTGAATGAGTTATGCTCCGCCCCCCAAAATCTTCATCATAAAAGCACTTAGCTCTATTCTTTTTCTTTTCTTTTTTTCCAGCTCTAGTTCTAATGGGAACTCTTCTTTTTTAATTTTTTTATTATTTTTATTTTATGTATATGAGTGTATTGCTTGCATGTATGTAAGCGCACCCATATTGTGCAAAGACTACAGAGGCCAGAAGAGGGCTTCAGATCCCTTGGAACTGGAGTTGTTAGCTGCCATGTGGGTGCTGGGAATCAAACCTAGGCCTTCTGGAAGAGCAGCAAGTGTTCTTAACTGCTGAGCCATCTCTCCAGCCCCCATAATGGGCGCTTTTCACACCACTGTCTAGCTTGGCTGCTTGAACTGTACTTTTAGCTGAGGATGACCTTCTGATATTCCTGACCTCACCTCCTGAGTGCTAAGATTACAGGCATGTGTCACAACACCAAGTTTATGCAGTGCTGGTCATTGAACTCAGGACTTCATACATGCCAGGCAAACATTCCAACACCCTTATATTCCCAGCTCCAACTCCCTTCTCACTCTGTAGCCCACACTGGCCTACAATTCACTATATCTCAGGCTGGCTTCGAGGTCACAGCAATCTTACTGCTTCAACTACCCAAATGCTGGGATTACATGTTTGAGCCACCAAACCCAGCTCCTGATCCTTTTCCTTAAAAATAATTTTTAAAAAATTGTTTCTTGGTTTGTTTATACATATATATATTTGGCCTTTTTGAGACAGGGTTTCCTAGCTGGCCTGGAACTCTATGTAGACCAGGCTGGCCTCAAACTCACAGAGATCCGCCTGCCTCTGCCTCCCAAGTGCTGGAATCAAAGGCCTGAGCCACCACACCCAACTTTATATTTTATGTGTGAGTGTTTTGACTGCATGTATCTAAGTATACCTGTGCATGCAAAGCCCTCAGAGGCCAGAAAAGGGCAATGGATCCCCTGGTGCTGGAGTTATGGACAGTTGTTAGCTATCATGTGGGTGCTGGGAACCAAACCTAAGTCCTCTGCAAGAGCAGTCAGTGCCATCTGTCCAGCCCATCTTC